TCAATTCTGGTGACCGACAGCTTCTTACGGGCAAACCCCACACCAAAAATAGTGCCGACAATCATTCAATCAATCGTTATGGGTTGTCCGATATATTAGTTCGTGTTTCGGCCTTATTTACAGGGGATGTCACTCCTATATTCTATACATAGAGCACTACTTCCTTCATGAAGGGAAGCCTAGACCGAGAGTCGAATCAGAAAAAAATGAGGAAAATTTGAGAGTTATCTCAAATTTAAAGACCCATCGAAAACTTCCTGCCTCTGTATTTGTCGACCTCTGGTGACCACCGACCGTCGTCCGCCACTAACCATCGTCGACCGTGAATGATGCATCCCTAAGCGTAATGATGAAGCACATTGCAAAGTAATGAAAGATGATACAGAGCAGCACAGTGCCAAACATATAGCGTAATGATGCATCCCTAAGACGATGTGATGACACACCACAAATAGGGTGTAAAGAGGCACCGTGAATGCAGTGTAATCAATGCTATTATAGCTCACCACCATGACTAATGTGACCAACCACAACCTACATGACAACCCTCTGCTCTAGCCTCAACGCTCGCCCTTTGATATGTCAAATGTGGTCAATCAATGCTATTATAGCTCACCACCATGACTAATGTGACCAACCACAACCTACATGACTCACAGCTCATTTAGCTCCCAACATTGGCCTAAGCGATCTACAAATACTATTCTAGCTGTCAACTCCAACCTATGTGACCTATAAATATTTTCATAGCTCACCACTACGAACTATGTCACCGATTATGATCTACTTGGCTCATAGCTTATGCAACTCTTAACTCTGATCTTTGTGGCCTACGTACGTTATTGCAGCTTACCCTTACGCTTATATGATCAACTACGATCTATGTAGCTCACAATTAATGTAGTTATAACTTTATGCTCTATGACCTACAAACACTATTGCGGCTCAACGATATGAGCTATGTGACCAACTACAACCTACATGGCTCATAACTGATGCAACTCCCAACTTCAATCTATGTGTCTTATAAAGGCTATTACAGCTCTCCACTATACCCTACATGGCCAACTCCACTACGCCCTGTGTGGCCAACTACGGTTTATGTGGCTCACAGCTCATGCATCTCTTAATTTCAACCTCTAGGGCCTACGAATATTCTCGCAGCTTATTACTACAACCTATGTGAACAACTATGACCTATGTGGCTCACATCTCATGCAAATCCTAAATATTGCCTATGTGGCCTACGAACATCATTGCAACTCACCACTACATCCAATGTGACCAACTATGGTCTAGATGGCTCACAGCCCATGCAGCTCCCTACTATGACTCACTTGACATACTATTATCATTTAAACACTTTATTAAGGCCTCTTTGGCCTACCGATGGAATTACAACTCTTCACTACAAATTTTGTGGCCAACTGACTCTCCTAAAGCTTCCAACGGTGTCTTATATGACTAAACACTACTACAATTTTCAACTATGATCTCTATGACAAGTTGAGGCTGTTGTAACCACCAAGATCTACATTTGTTATAGCCCATATATGACTATTAAAGTCGGATCAATTTCGTCTTTCCTAATATATGAGAAGAGTAAACCTATGTACCTACAATTACATGGTAGATTACTTCGATTGGTCTAGGCCACATGGTTTCTTTTCTCTCCATAGGGTTTTGCATATAAAAATTATGGTGTTGCCTCTTTTTACTCATGTACTATGTGTGTGTCCTTGTTTTGTACAACGCTAAGACGCTAATTTATTAATCTACCACACTAATCGTCCGACACCCAAAAACACACTTATTATAATTAAAATAATATTATAATTAATATATGTAATATAAGTAAGTCAAAATTCATAGCATAATGTTTAAAACAACATTACCATCTAAAATAAGAACAACTAATTAGTCATTTTACTGAATGCAATAAACTTAAATATGAAATTGACACATAAATATGACCCAAGTAAGTTTTACTATAGGATATTGCAATGTATTATATTATCATCAATCTCAATATGAGTGTTTGTCCCTAGTGATAGATTATGAAGGTCTGCACATATTGTGTGCCCTTACATCTCGTAGGAGTACCATGTTCATCTAAAAAATAAGTAACATGACAGGTTAGTAAATAACATGACAAAATGGAGAAAACTATTGAATGATGAACAAAAATGCATAATAAATAAATACCTAAATATTTTTTATTGGCCTATATTAAACTTTTGCGGCATTCGAATGAGCAGTGATGTTAGAATAAATAGCAGCTCAATTGTAAAATAATCATAACATGCGTATCAAATGAGTACATCAATATATATTGTGCATGACCACGAAGTTTTACTTCTTCAGTTAAATAACCAAATAGATGAATCATAATTGTAAAAAATGAGTGCAATAAACATTTTTCCATTTGGCATAGAATCAATATAATATTATCATTTAACTTAAATTCCACAAGACTAATGAACTTAGTGCACTTCATTTTTAAAAATCTTGATATTTCAACTATAATGCTCATTACTACTTCTGATGATGCACAACATTTCAATGCAATTAGAGGAATATCTTAAATAAGAACATGATAATCATGCATTTTTAAACCTATTATTTATATTCACTAATGTTTAGAACTCTGAAGATAATTGATGCATAGTCATTAGATGCTTTCATTTTCTTAAGAAGTTCACCAAACATCAACTTGTACTTCTTCAATAATATGAATATTTTCGGCGACTAAACATAACTAAATTCCCATTAGCCATTAGAGACTTTCATTTTCTTAAGTATTTATTGGTGTTTTTTTTATGTAAATAGAAGTGCATATTATTACCTGATTTATAAGGACACAATTTTTTTAATAAATTCATGCTCGAACTGATGAACACCAAAAAATAATCAACTCATTTTAGATATTTTTTACTCCATTTGAGTATAATTATCCAAGTTTTATTCATTTAGTAGATAAATAAAATACATTCTAATGCGTGCTAGAAAATTCGCGGCATTAGAGAAATGGATTTTTGTCTTAGCATTGTGTAAGAACCCAACATAGAGTTGGGTAAAAGAAAACAAGCAGTAATGACACCAGATGTTTTTACGTAGAAAACCCGTAAATAGCAAAAATCACAGGGTCTGACTCAGTTGCAAAAATTCATAGTAGTTTGATGATTACAAAGACCCATTTTCTCAAATACGAAAAATGATTACTAGATTTTTCAAGTTACAACGTCGATTTGTCGCTTCCGGTTAGTAGTGGTCAACGGTAATTAGTAGTGATTGTCGACATTGTAGAGCCCAAGAAATTAGAACTACTTTATCATTCAAAGATGGCCAGGGAGAAGCCTTCTTCCCAATGGGCGTTCTTCGTTTAGAAGAATTCAGTGAAGAATTTGATTAAGATTTAAATAAGATATGAGGAAGAAAACGATGAAAGCTACGTGGATGGAGGCGTGGCAGAGGATTTTTACCTGTAAATTTGATTTTTGGGACATTCAGATATAAAAAGTATTATTCGAGGACGCCGAATATTCTAACCAAAGAATTTTTTCAATCCAAAAAACCAGGGAAAATAAAGCGCAAAAATCAATATTGAGAGATGAGTACGAATCAGCAATTTACGACTCCATGTTTTAACATTTTTTTTCTAGAACATATATATCCATATTTACAATACTGAAAAAGAAAAATGCCAGTCGCGAATCACATGATGGAGCACGCATTGGGGTTCTCGTCGCTGAAGAGCTGCGGTCCTACAATTATCTCGCTGTGGTGCGGAAAGCCAAAGCTACGGTAGTAATCCATCTTCCTTGCCTCCATTGATGCCGGTGTTGCCGGTGCTGCTGGTGCTGCCGTTACAGTCTTCGCCGCATCCTGCCCTTCGCTGCCCTTCTTTTTCTCGCTTTTCTCCTTATCACCATCTCCATCTTTCTTTGGATTCACGATCTCTACTCCCCTATTCAGCTTCGCCATCAAAAACCCAGGCAGGGTAGTCACGTCCATGCTTCCTTTCACGGTAACCAGATCCTTCTCAGAGTCAAATGAAACACTCTCAACTCCTGAGCGATTACCATTTGATAAGATTGTTCAGACTTTTTCACAGGTAATTACCAGATAATTTCCATTTAAATTCCGTTGATCTTACCTTTGATTTTGTTAATCTGCTTTCTGATTCGTTCGTTGCAGCCCTGGCAATGTAACCGGATCTTGAGAGTCACCGATGACAATGAGGGCTACAAGAGTACGGAAAGAAAATGTACAATAAACAAACAATAGCGAATAAAATTGTTCGAATATGTTTTATGTTACGGTAATCTAATTTTGTTTATCGGTGATCTGAATTTGATAATTGATTTTTTATCACCTCATTTGGCTTTTTATCGTCGGCTTTCTTCTGTTCCTTGCTCTGGTCTGGCTTTTGATCTTTGGCTCCTTCGTTTCCATCAACTTTAGAGCTCTCCTTCTCCTTTTTAACGGCGACAGCAGGGGAGATGAGCTCTACCTTCTTATGCATCTTGCTCTCTAAACGGTTTCGAAGCTCAATTGGATTCACCTTTCCAATCACTGTCAACTTGCTCTCCGTAACGTCCGACGCCACCCCCTCAACGCCTGCGCGCACAAACGATAACAAGGACTAACAGAAACGTAAAAGTAGCGGCAACAGATCATAAAACCTTTTAAGTGTAAGTAATGCGTGCGAGAGATCGATTGAGCCAAATACCTTTGAATCCTTTGACGGATCGCCGGACTTTCTGAGCACAACCCTTGCAGTGCATCTCAACCTTGAGGACAACGGTAATGGGGCCGACCTCCATTCTGCTGAAATCCTTCCTTTCCCCTTCCACCTGCTTCTCCTTCTCCTCGCCCTTAGGGTTTCGAGCAATCAGGGTTTCGATCCTGAAAGCAAATATCAGTTAAGTGGAATCTCGTTTCCTTCCCGTCGCTCAACTCTCTCTTCGATGTCGGTTGCCGGACGGGTTGAATTTGAAAAACAGAGCTCAACGAGTGTAGTGGGAAGATTATATCGGGCGAGCCCACGAGGATCGGTGGGACCCACGTATGCGAACGTGGCTACTGCCGCGGAAGTCTCGGATTTGCGAACCCACGAAGTTTCGGGATTGGGAAGCGAATGACTGGAATACCCCCACAAGATGATCTAATAACATGGGAAGAATGGGCATTTTTGTAAATGAATGAAAATTCCGTGGTTGCCAAGTCAAGCTTGAGTCATATGGCTTTGGGAGGATTAAATCCTTAATTTGTCCTTAAGTTAAAATTAGGGTTTATATTTTTTTTTATCAAAGCCAAGAATAATTCCGAATTGTGGTAATGAGTTTAAAAGAAAAAGAAAAAAAATTCAAAAGTTACAAATGGAGAAAAATAATGAACTATAGATTAAAAAAAAAAAAAGAATTTGCCAACAATTTTAGAGGAGGTCAATGAATGGATCAACTTTTTATCATTGTGCTCAAGTTTTGAGTTGCTAATTGATTGAAGGGTGAGCTAATTGATAAAAATTAGTTATACTTGATTTCACCAATTCTTGAGGATGGTTAGCAAGTCATCTTGTCTATAAAGAACATTGAAGTCTACTTGAGGAGATCCCTTAGAGAACAACAACGCAATTCATGATTAGGGTCCTATCATAAGAAGAGGAAGACTTGCCCCCCATCGGGGATGTTTCCGAGCTCGTGGATCCATTTTATTTAAAGATGATAAGAGGGACAAAAAATATATTACAATATTACCCTTGTTTTAAAAGGGTAGTACATGATATTTTAGTCTTCTGTGTTTGTGTGTTCTGCTGGGTACCTCATCGACCGTTGGATCAGTTGTTCTGGGGTTTTTCTGTTGAGGGGTGTCGGCACTATTTTTGGTTGGAAGGTTGCCCGTAAGAAACTGTCGGTCACTATAATCGAAATCTCGTCGCCCGCTTCGGAATGACGTTTTAATTTACATATATATTTAGTTTTAGAAAAAAATATGAAATCAAACTGACCTCATATTTTTCACAGTTTAAATGAAAGAGCGTTGTACCTCAAATCATGTATCTATCCCGAAGGACAAACACATGACTTGAGGATGAGTCTCGATCAAATAAACTAAGGAATATATGACATCCGTTTGGTCTGCGAAACCATTTTATTTGCCGACAATTTCCCCTATTTAATATGAAGAATTAAATATGGTTTGCGGATGTCAGACATGCTTCCTATAAGGGCAAGCCCCTATAGTTAATTACTACTTAAATGACCAAAATCACCTAAGGAGACTCTTGATAAAAATCAGGAAATATTATCTTCAAAGAATTTCAAAGGGTAGGACTTTTCAAGTGAAATCGAACGTAGAGGTGTGAAAGTGGATTGGTTCAAATTTGGAATATTTTGTTGTAGAGTCCAAATGACGAAAAACTAGGGGATGCCATAGATCTAGAGGGGAACCTCGGTGACTTCCCAAGTTATCCTATTGTTTGGCTTCAGTTTTGCAGAGAAATATTTATGTGTTTCATCCTGTCAATTTTATTAGTTAGAACTTACATTCGTGTGAAATTATCGCACAAATAGCCTGGAAAATGTGAGGGTTTAGGTCGTGATGGACAACAACCTCGAAATCCTAAGACGAGTTAGGGCTTATATTATATAGCAGGGTTGTACAAAGACCTAAAGATAAGGTGAAGATTTACGTTTCATAAGCAAGCAACATCGAAGTCCTATGGCTTTGTTGTTTATATCTAAGGAAGAAAGATTGGTTTAGTTGGGGAAGACAGATTTTGTTGTTGAAGATGGTTGTGCTGCCCACCATGCTAGCTCCAAGCTCCTTGCCGCGACGAGTGTGAGTTTTATAGTGTGTCAAGTTATGATGTCAAATCCGGTAGCCCTATGGTTGAAGTTCTTTAAATTTTATGGGGGCATGTTAAAGTTGATTAGAGCGACACCGGTTAGGATCATACGGTTCCCTCGTTTCGACACCACTATGTTCTATTGGATTCACTTAGTCCAAATAAACTTACTAAACTCAACTTAATGAGTTCCATAATTTTATTTAGACCGTGGGAATCCTCGTTAACAACCGTAGGTTACCTCCTCTGAGGGATTCCCGATCATCTGATAGAGACATCTTAATTTAGTTGTAATTGTAGTTTTACGTGATGTTTGTGATTAAATTTTGAGTTGTTTTATATTTTGAATATTGTGGGGGTGAATTTTATCTTGGTTGATTTTAATTTTAGTTTTGATTTTAGTTTTGTGACTATCATGATAGTTTTAGTTTTCATGCAGGGTGACATCGTTGTTTAACATGCAAATTTGCAGATATAAAATTACAGTATGAAGGTACAATAAAGATAACTCTAAAAACTGTAAAAACATACATGGCGAGTCTTTTCGTTCCATCACCTGAAACTCAAAAGAAAAGTTAAGGCAGGTTATGTGAAACAGGGAAGTAAAATTTTGACGACCTATCTAACCCTAGGTCATATCTTGGTGGATCCTTAGGAGTTTAATTAAGGATGATGTTGCCAAACAAAATATATTAAGTTTAGTAGATTTCTGAGGTATCCATCGGGTCTAGAGAAAGATGCAGGTCTGTGCTACTCTCTCGTTGCCTGGTGGAAAATCCCGAGTTCTTTTAAACTTATTATGTTGCTTAATAATACATCCTGTAAATACCCTTAGTGCTCATTGAGCATTGATGTCTCAATTATCTCTAAGCGTAAGGTAATTATCATCAGTAATTTAATTTTGAAAATTATGTGGGTGAAAACTCTTAAAGAGGCAAGTTAGTGTTATTGAAATACTTAACCAAATTTTGGTTCAAATTGGGCTTGTAATGTTTGAAAGATGTACTAATTTTAATTGAGTTTGTTTTTCTAATCTCTATTTAATCAGTCATGATTTAGCCTAAATCACTACTAAACCCTTAAGACCTAAGTGAGTGTCTTAATTAATTTTGAAAAGGTTAAGTTTTAGTTAAGTTTTAGGTGGTCACGGTTCGGTGGTCACGGTTCATTATTTGAATTTCATTTGAAAATTAAAATAGGGGTATTAAATTGATTAATTATTTACTTCAAAAGTTCAAAATTTGATGAATTCAAAGCTCATTATTTTGTTCAATTTTAATGAAACTCAAAATAAGCCAATATTTTCTCGATTATGTCAAGACTTCAGTTGATGTTGACAATCAAATAATCTATTAAATGACGTCTTAAAATCTTTGAAAAAAAAGATAGTCTATTAGGGTATGTTCCTGAGAGAAAAATTTTGAAAAATGCTCGTGCACAACATCCAAACTTATTTTTGGATCTTCCAACACATACTTTGAACTTTTGATTAGTTTCTTTTAGTATTCATGGCATTTAACTCTTCGCATTAGACCCTCATTTCTTCCCAATGTATAATGGAATGAAGTTAAGATGCTTCATTTTAATAATTATAATTGTGTAAAAAAAAAAAACATTATAATTGACATTAATGTCTATCTCTAGCTTTTAATTCTCACATTGTAATGATTTTGACTCAATATTTAATGATGTGATACTAATTGACAATATTGTTTTACTTTTCAAAGAATTGTTATGTGAATTATTTATGATTTTTTTCCTAGCATTCCTACTAGTATTTCAATGGAATATTAATGATAGCTTTGTTTGTCCATAATGAGCAAAAAAAATCCTTCTTGGCTAAAGCAAATGGAGAAAGTTGCCTTTTATAGCTTACATAAATATTGATTTTCCAAATGTTCTAACTATTTATGTGCATAAGACTTTATCCCGAATTACAATTATTTAATTATAAAGTTGAAATTCTCCTCACGTATTTATAATAAATTGTCATAAACATAACATATTGTTAATGAATCTAAAAAACGTATTTATTTAACCCATGTTTAAATTAACACGTGCCATCCCTATAATTATAGAAAAAATAAGTTTCCAACAGTTTATTCCGTTTCCCTTTGGCTGTTTGTCATGTGCGGTGCGGTAGGCTTCGTAGGATCCGAGCTCTATACGAAGAACAGCAGGCGTGCATGAGTATGACGTATGATTTGATTGCGGTAATTATGAAATGCCTCGTGGACTTCATGCGGGCGCACATTTTGGGTTGGGTAAGATGTTGTGGCTTTGACGGATGGATGGCCTGTTGACGAATGGGGGGACCACTGGCTTTTGAAGGTATTGAATAATAAAATAATAATACCTGCTCATTTGTCTGAACGGATGTGATACAACGGAGGTCCTAGCTTTCACTCTGCCTAGATGTGTTATTTCTGTTGTCCGTACGCAGCTTTACGTTCAGACTCCGAACACAATATTTTTTTCTTTTCAGCAGGGTTGTGAATTTTATATCTAAGATATTTAATCTTTCTAAAATTGATTTGAATTTAAGTTAAGATCCACGACAGATAGAAATACGCGAGCCGTGTTTTGAGCAAAAAATTAAGAGTATATTTTTTTAAAGCCGACTTTAACTCAGCTCGAAATTAAATTATTAAGAGTTTTAGTAATGTTGTGACGGTTAATTTAGTGAATTTAGCTAGAAGTTTGTTAATTGTTTTCGAATTTTGACTTGGATCTAGATTCAATGAAAAAAAGGAGCCATGTTGCAAGTAAGCAAAAAGTTTGGATCGAATTATTTTAAAACTAATTTCGCTCAACTCAAAATTGGTTCATTAACTAATCTACTTTTGAGCACACAATTCTTATGTATTTATATAAACTTTAATATTTTCATATTTAGAACTTTAATGTTTAAATTGATGCATGGAAAGTGCATCTCCCGTTAAAAAAATATTAGTCGTATTTTTAATGTGATATTTAAAAAAAATAAAGTGCTTTGAATGTAAATATGAGATTTTAGGTGTGAGATATAAATACACAAGCATTGGGTGCTATTATGCAAAAGCTCCTTTAAATTATTATAGCAATTATTTAGCAAATGTTTTAGATCTAACTATAAATATGAGTTTGAG